TTGGTGAACGTTTTTCTAATGCACTGTAGTTGCAGAAAAGTAAGCTCAATATGCAAGTTGTTGACCATGAAGACAAGATTTGTACTCTATTTACCAGGGAGAAAATGCAATTAACTTGTTCAAGAACTTGTTCTGGTTTATCTAAGAGGTCAACAATAGTATTTTACATTTTTTCTAAAAGTCTGGATGAAAAGAAATTGTAGTTATATGTATTTTCTTTTCTAGATAATTAAGATTACATTGACAGTGTAACATATTACTTTTTTACAGACAAAATCTGTGTTTGAGATTGGACTTTGCAGTAACAAAATGTTCTGCTATGCTGTCCTTGGATCTATAATGGGGCAGTTATTGGTCATTTACTTTCCTCCACTTCAGAAGGTTTTTCAAACAGAGAGCTTGAGTGTCTTGGGTAAGAACAGTTCCCTTCTCAAAACTGTCCATTAAGAATTAATTCATAAATGTGTTAGGTGATTGGTGCACTTTCTGGCTGTTTGCATACTACAGGAACACAAAGTATGCTGACTCTAGTTGTTTTGTGTGGGAGATTTTTGGGGGTTGGTTTGTTTCATTGGTTTGATTGTTTTATTTTATTTTTTTTTAATTTGGGGGGGTTTTAAATCCTTTTAGATATTTTCTTTGGGAACCATGATTTAAATGCATATGGTACACAGCTTATCACTGTGTTCTTAAATTTTTAGGTGTTCATTTATACTGGGCTTTTTAATATCAATATCGTTGCAGACAACATTATACACACTTCGTAGTTGTTTGAGCACTATTAATTTTGCTATGTCATAAGTTTTGTCTCCAAATGTAAACACCTTATTTAGAAATCCCGATCTGTTATTATCAACTGGATTGTCGTAGGGTAAATAAATGTGAGGATTTTAAGAAGCTATAGATACATAATGCTGTTGGACTCATTAAGACTTAGGTTTATTACTTTTTATCATTTTCTGCAGTTAAATGATTGTAATGAAATATGTGTATTTATGTCAGTTTTTTTATTGTAGCATAACTTCTGATTGTTAATTTTTTTTTCAGAATAAAATTAATTATATTGCTAAAAATAAGGTTATGAAATACTTTAAAAGCTTGCAGTATCGTGCCTGTACTTATGGTTTGTGCATAAACTATGCATGTCAGTCTTCAGGTGCTGCAAAACATTGAATCTTGTTTCATTTCTCCTGAACTTGCCCAATGACTGGGAGAAAATTTGAAAGTCTTGTTCTTTTCTATATCTCTCCTCAGCCTTAAATAGCAATTTTAAAAAGGGCTAATTATCTCTTCCAGATTTACTGTTTCTTCTGGGACTCACTTCCTCTGTGTGCATAGTGACTGAGATAATAAAGAAGTTTGAAAGAAGCAAGGAAAAGATCCAGAAACGTGGAAGTTCTTCTTCGTCAACTTCGTCTTTTCTTGATGTATGATGCATATTGCATTCTTTTGTTTGCAAACTTAGCGATTGCTGTCTAAAGATGTGGGAGAAAGCAAAACAATATTTGGAGGATAAAGAAATCCTGAGGGCTTTTGACAAGTCCTTTGTTTCACTGGCTAATGACGAACTTCGTGTTTCAAGACTGTTCGGAATTTAACTTCCAGCTGTGGAAGTAACAAATGAAATTATGCAACTTTGGTAACATTTTTCCTCAAACATAAATTTACTTTTGAGATTGAACGGTATTGCAGGGTGGGGGGTGGGGGTAGGGGTTAATTTAAAGAAAGATCTAAGCCCAAGTCCCATTTTCTGCACTTAAAAGATATAACTGTGTAAAATCCTTCTCTTAGATATAAATATTTTAGTTTGTTTTTATTTAAAGCATTGTACTATTCTACTTTTCTGGTGGTGGGACTTTGCTACTAATACAAGGATAAAAATATTTCAGAGGCATTCCACTGGGTTTAGAGTCTGTCACAAGAGTGCCATATTCTAGCTACTGTATTTATTTACTTTATCCTGCAATGTGTAAGCGGCTCAAGTACCTTGTGCTACAGTTCTTTTGTATCCCAAGTTTGGTTTTTGTTTTTTCTTGCACAGGATGTGACCGCTGTCGGATCACTGTTTTTCTTTTCTTTTTCTGTGATTGAAAAGCCTATACTGCAATTTGAAGTAAATGTTTGCTTTTCTTATAAGAGTGTTGTCTCTTTGTTTTAAAAGAAACTGGCATTTTACACCAGATGAGCATGAGTTTTGATGGAATTGTGATACAGGCTTTGTTTCATGTCTCATTCCATACTTTAGCATATGACTCTTAGATCACTTGAGTGATTATAAGACAGTAGTTATTGAAATTATTTGTAGTGTACTGAATTAGAAAATGAACGCAATGCTCCTTACTCTAATGGCAAAAAAATCCCACCCCTCTTTGAAAGAGCTTCATTTTCCTTCCTTCTTTCACCCTGTTCATAAAAATAACTTTTTATTGGTAATGTAACTTTAAATTTTAACCTATGGAATTACTTTTGTGGCTAGAAAAACCTGATGCTAGATTTGTGGCTTGATGTGTTAAAAGTATTTTTAATTTATTACGGTGTCTGAATAGTCTCATATTCACTAGTTGGAAGTAGTTTTATTCCTCAAAATAATCTTGTCGCTGTTGTCATCAGTGTCTTCTCATCAGAGTAGGACTCATCATTGCTTGAGGAAATGCAAGGAACTATCATCTAGGGAATCTTGAAAAGAGGATGTCTGAGACCTCTAGAGGGAGTCAAAGACACAGTGGTATCTCTTTTGCTTTGTAAGCATGTGCATATGCATCTTTCCTCACTGTAGCCTGCAAGTCTGGCAGTGGCATTGGCAGTGGACCATGCTGTCGTGATTGTTATCCTGTCAGTTGATGAGGAATTGTCGGAAACAGGCACTGGAGTATTTCTGCTCTTACCGTTGTGACTTGCCCCACATACCATGCTCAGAATCAGGGGACTTCTTGGAAAACAGTTTGGCAGTTTGGAAAGTGCTGTATGAATTTCTCTGCTACTGTGTTGTTTTAATTGTTCTCTTCTTTTTTCCTTTGGAGCTTACCAGACTTGGTCAGGAAGCGGGGCATGAGTGCCCCACTGAGACTGCTTTACACGTGCAATTCATCCATTGCTCTGCCTGACCCTGGGCCTGCTCAATATGCACATATTACCTGGACTAACAGTGTGCTGGAGATCTGATTGTCTAAAGACAAAGACCCAGCATGTGGTCCTCATCTGTTCCTGTGGATTGTTAAGTGAGCCACTGAGCTGGTGGGGCCTCAACAAGATGACCTCTTACAGAAATGCTCCTGTGTCTTCAAGCAGAAGTTTCTTATTTACATCAGTTCTGCCTTTCCAAAGCTGAACAGATTAGACAGTTGTGAACTGTCTTTGGCAAGTGAGGCTGTAGCTGTTCAATATTGTAGGGTGTTCAGTATTTCAGTACAATTTCAGAATACTTTATTAATAAAATCCTTAGTATTCATCAATAAAGATAGATAGTAAAAATTGACCATGCATGCTGATTTAACAGCACCTTTAACAAACTTTGGTTTTGAGAAAGCACAGTAACCATGCCTTTCACGTAGTAAGTCTTAACTTGTGGTTGATATTCTTCCGTGGGATTTGACTGCTTTGAGTGCTGCTCTTTATCTTGGAGCCCCAGAAGTCTAGATAAGTACAGAAGTGCAGATGATGCCAAATTGTTGTCTTCCTTTGGAAGTGCTATTTTCTAGTTTTTAAACAAAGGGTTTATGAAGTGCCCCTTTCCCAGCACAAGTCTTGCTTTCTGAATAAGATATGTCAGTCTAGACAAGAAATAAAATGTCAGTCTCCTACAGACAATTTTGCCTTCTTGGAAGTGGATTTAATTGAATGCAATTCAGTTTAAATATGCCAAAAGTTTTGGTGCTCTGTTTTCTACTGGAAGATGAAATACAAATAATAAATCCAGCTCAGTGTCATTATTTATAAAAATTACTTCGATAGAATTCCATTGACATTGTTTTGGCTCTGCTCATGTGGTTCATTACCACCATTCAGCATGTTTGAGAGATTTTTCTGCAGAGCAGTTAAATCAGTATTGAGAATTTTCTATAAAAATGAAGAGGCCTTTCTTGTGGGGTGAAAGCAGGCAACAACCAAGCAATTTACTTGCTTTTACTAAAACATGAAATAAAAAATGTTTCAGTTTTAATAAGTAAAGGCCCTTTAATTTCTATTTTTCCTCCAAATAAGTTTGAGAACCTATAATGAGTCAAAAATGAAAACTAACACTTGATTAAAATTCTGCATGGTAGCACTAGAATCAGTAATTATTTTCTTCAGCATACAGGACTGGTGTTTGCAGTGAGGTGTATGTCATTTCATCAGCAACAAGGAACAGCTGAATTCTGCATTGAGAACACGTTTCCGGTACAGTAATTCTTAATCATTGAGTCAGCATTCCCAAAAGTATTCTCAAAATGCCATGTGGTCATAGCAGTGTTTTTATCTGAAAGTGGAGTATTGGATCTTATCCCAGTCTTCTGAACTGTGTAATTGAAGATAACCACTTAATAATGGATCAGAGGATGATTTGGACAATTAAAGATTTAAGTTTTAGTTAGTAAAATCAAGATTTTTAAATTTAACTCCTTTCGACTTTAAAATTGTCTGATGGAGATGTGATGCTGTAGGCTGCTGCAAATAGAAATCTATTTAGAAAAAGGTGGTGAAGTCCTGGTGACTTGCGGTGTGGTTGAGTGTAGGTGCCATCTGCTGGCAGTTTAGCAAGTAGCAGCTTTTCTACTGAAACAAATCTTGCTGTGACAGACAGTATCTCAAACCCATTTTCTCATTAATGTACCATCTTATATTCTTTTCTCATTGACTGTATTAGGGCAGTGTCGAGATTCAGCTGCATGGTGTCAGAGATCTTTCCTGTAAGTCCCAAGATCTAGTGAGTTACTTCCATGTGAACAGATGTGATAGGGAGCATAAGCAGGACTGAAAACTCAAGCAGACAATACAGGAACCAAGTTTGAATTCTGGTAAGTAATGGGAAAACTTTAACCATGAAAGGTGGAAATGTAAGAAAAGGTATGTGGATTCTTGAGAAGAAAAAAGCCAGAAATGTAGTAATTAGAATTTACATTGGGAAGACACTGGAAAACCAATAGTTTTGTAAGAAAAGCATTTATGTAAATCGATATTAAATATGCTGAAAAGTTTGCTAATGCAAAGCACTGGGAAATACCTATGATGTAGGATTTTGCTTTTTTATTATAAATTGTTTTTCAGTATTACCATGTTGATAGCAAGGGTTTGTGAAGTAATTATGTACATCAGGGGAGTAAAAAGGAGTCTGCTGTTTTAGTATAGGCATTATAGAAAGAAGAGCAACAACAGTTTGTTAATGGCGGAAGATTGTACACAATGACTGTGACAATTACTTCGAATTAGCAAACCTTCAGAAACTTGCTGTCATGTGACAGCTTTGTGCTGCATGTAACTCTGTTTAACCATGTCACAGGGGAAGGGGGAGGAACAGAAGCTGAAGTTTATCCCCGAGTATAGTCAGTACCTGTGCTACTCAGTTGTCACCAAGTAGAGCTAGCTCTCCCTCAGAGTACAAGTACTCTACCTGTAAAGACTGATTTTTACAATATTTTTGAACTTGGCAATTTCCATTTCAATCTCATCTGTAAGACTGTAATCACTCTGTTCCTCAAACACAAATTTTTCAATTTTTTGGAAAGGAGAAGTGTTCAGAGCAGAGACAACTATAAATGTGCAGGAAAAGAATTCTTCAGAAATAGTCTGAATATAGATAGCTCTGAATAACTCTGAAATGCTGAACAACTTTGCTCTCATTTTCAATTAGACTTTAAAGAAAAACAAACCACAGTTTTTATACAGCATCTCTTTTATATGAATGTAAGTTACAAAAGGTGAATAAAAACATCCCCTGAAGCAAGATTTTTGGTAAAGATTGAATCAGAATCTTGTGTGAAAACAGCAGAGAAAATTCCAGTATGGTCATATATTCTAATGTAATTTCTTTCATCGGTATGGCATTAGAATTTGTTCCAGGAATAATGCTTTCAGTCATCCACTTCCAATGATGCAAACCTATTAGCACTGCAAAAATGCAGATTTTCTGGTGTTGCACACTTGGCTGTTCTTTTCTTATTAGATGCTTTCTTCTTTTTACAGGAGTCTGATCTAGTCTTGGTCGTTTTCTGAAAGAATTCTGGAGATACAGTTGCCTCCACTGTATTTAACAAAAGCAGATAAAGCTGAGTCATTTTTTGAGATAAAATAAACAGATTTTCCACTGAAGGTGTTGATTTCAGCTCTTGATACAGTCTGTGCACAAGGGTCCCAGTGTAAAGCCTGCTCACGGAAAGGAGAGAATCTTCATTTAGAATTGCATTTCAACAGGTACAGAAACATGTTGCTCAGTGAATAAACACAAACACACAGAGTAGCCAACAGTCAATGCCTAAGGGACACATATGCTACAGAGTATTTCTCTCTGTATTAATTGCTTTAAAGAAGGGAGTTCAAATGTAGTACAACTGGCCAAAGGAGTTTGACACAAAGTAAAACAACACGTGAACACATTCCATCAGGAGCTTGTGTGGAAAGCAGATCACTGAAACATCCTTACCTACTTAGGTCTGGCTCAGAGAGAGGAGTGCGAAGTAGCTGGTTGAGATACAATCCCATCTGAAGACAGCACTGCCACTGGCAAAAACTGTGTGCAGCATCTAAATCAAAGTCGTTATTTTGCAATTTCTTTTCCTTCCATTTTAAAAATTCGTTATACACAATACTGTCGTCTTCAGCACGTAAAACTGTGGGAAAAATGTTATACTGAGGGTTAGCACTATTCCTCTGCACATATCAATGCAGAGAATGTAACACCTCAGGATATAGTGTAAATCAGTGCTAATTCATCTAAATTTGGACACCTCACCATAAGTGGGGAAAATTAATTATTGTATAGATTTTTGTAGTAGCTGAACACCTGAAATTGTATTCTGTGGAGACATACCTGGATCATCGTTTATCCTGTGCAGTTCTCCAGAGACTATTGTTAGAAGTAGAGCCTTTAATTGATGCAACTTAACTTTTGGTTCTGAACAACGTATCCAGTAACATGTTACAGCAACAGGGAGCTGTAAGTGACTTGGGATAGATTCTAGGAAGCTCATTTTCACTCCTAGAGTCTCCAGCAAAAGCATCTGACGGCATGACGTGGACATCTGAAAATAAATTTAAAAATTTGAGTGGAAAAACAAAGGTAAGAGAATTTATTTGTTGTGAGCAATTTTCCAAAAGGCAAATAAGTTTCTGGTTAAACTAGCTAGCACTTCAGATTTTTTTATAAAAAATTTTTTTAAGTTTCATAGATATTCTCTACAGGAAATATTTTTTAAATATTACCTAAAACTTTAAAAGCTACCCAGTTAAATGTCAGGTAGAAAGATAAAAGCGATCTTTTAGAATTGCATGAGGTGAGATTTTGAGAGGTTTCAAAGTCTTCGTATCAGGTGACTTGTTTGGAAATCTTGGAACCATAATGCATTTAAATTATGGAAAATATACATACAAACGTATATATAAAACCTTCATTAGAAATTATGCTTGCATTATAAGATGTAATGGTGATGTCCGTTCTTAATATGTTGAAAGCATGCTTACCTATAATCACAGTGCAATCTAAGTGTGAAGCTTACATTTTTCACCTGCAGTGTATTAATTCCTAGCACATGCTCGCTCTTTGTTGTGCCATTTAACTTCCAGAAGTTAAATGTTATAAGCTGTGCCCCTAACATCATGCATGCAGCAGAATCGCAGCAGGCTGTTCAATGGTAATTCGAGTGCTTTGTAAACCTTGATTAGGATTGTTTTGCCTACTCTCAGGCAGACCACCCCATGGCAGAAGAGAAACTGAGGTCAGTTTGTCTAGAGCACTTTCAATGCAGAATAACATTTCTTCTTTTAACTTTCTGTTCAATTGATAATTTCCATATATTTAGTAAGGAAAGCTGTAATAGCAGAAGCTCAAATCCATTAAACAAACAGCACACATGCCAAGGTCGAAGTAAGGTGTCATTAATGTCTCCTATAATCCCAAAACATGATTTTTCAAAATCTTAAGTGCTGCATAATGCTCGTTTAAAGGGCCTGTACCAATAACCTGTGTAAAATATCCTGTATGTAGGCCTTTGGATCCATAGCTGTCTGTAGCATTTAATGGGCATAGCAGTGATAGACTCGGTTCCTTTACAAAATAGCCACCAGCAAGTGATCAAAACATCCAGCACTGACTACACACAGAAATGTGTTAACAGGTGATCTGAATGCCAGAATGGATAGAGCATGTGGCTTAAGTATGCAGAATTAAGAGACACACACTGTATTTCTAGATGTTGCAGAAATTACTGTACATGCAACTTTGGGAACGGGAGATTACTTTCCAACACGGCAAGAATTACAGTCTTAATCGTTAGAATTGAAATATACAGAATTGCTACTGGTGATGGGAACTAGCCTAGTACAACTTTCCTTTGGTTCAAGCTGTCTTTCCGGTGCTGTTGTGCTCTGTCTGGCAAGCAGCAGGGGTTCACATTAGCAGGAGCATAACTGGGGCAGGTAAAACTGCTGGGCAGCTGCAAGATGCACACATGAAATAATGATGATTTTTAGAAAAAGGCATGGGTCAGATTATGTTTCAGAACATTGCTCTGACACATCTATAGCTTGATCAAATACAAAGTAGGTTTTGTAGTGTTAAGTTGGACTTTTCTAAACTACAAGAAACTGAGTTCCTTCCTATAATTATAAAAGCAAGTATTAGTGTAACAAAATCCACAGGATGAAATAAAGGCCTAGTATAGAAAATTTAGGGAGTACTGCATATCCAAACAATAACTTTTCATATCATTTATCTTGGTACACTTGAAGGGAGGCGGGAAGAGAAGGAGATAAAGACAATCTATGTAGCTTCCTAAATATCACAGGTACCTCTGTATGAAGCAGTTACTTACTGAGGTGGCTTAGTTCAGACATCACATTTAGCGACCAGCTGGCAACCATGAGTCCCAACTACTTTTGTCACTCGCGAAACACTGTTAACCGTGATCTGTTGTGACAACCATTTACCTCCATTAACTTGTCCAAAGGAAAACGATCATCACAAAAATCTGTGGGTGGGCTTGCTGCTTGAACAAATGTTTTTTTAATTGTCTTTTGGCATCTGTCAAATTCACATACAACGGGCAGCTCGTGGGTCTGCTTATCTGGAGAAGCAGCTTCAGTATTTTGAGATACCCTCAGGAGCAGTCCATAGATAACTTGTCGGATGGGCAAAGATGCGCTATGAGCGCTCGGTCTCTGCATGTTCTCCACCTGAACGCGGAGGATGGTACTTCTTAGTATCAGGGCATTGATGATGAATGGGGCCAGCTTACCTTTTGCCAAAGCATCAAGTACCCACTGTGGTACGTCTGCTTTCCTGGCAGCTTCGCATTCATACCTTCCATTCTGAAAGAAGTCCTCAAGATTCACAGCAGACGGAGCGTAATCCTCCATTGAAGTGCACAGAAGCTCCCTTATTTCTTCCCTCTGATGTTTCTTAAGGTACTTCAGCACATTCTCGACGGCCTCGGTGGGCTCCGCGAACTGCGCCAGCCAGTTCAGGAGCCCCTGGAGGCGGAGATGCCTCCCGCCCTTCCCCGCCGCGCAGCCCCTGGGCAGGCGCACCTTGCTGAAGAACGCCTCCAGAGCTGCCAGGCCCACGTAGTCGTTCCCGTTCATGACGGCGAAGAGCGGGAGCAGGCTCTTGTTCAGGCGGCCGAAGTGCCTGCAGAACCGCTCCGCCGAGAAGCAGCGCGCGGGCACGTAGCATCCCTGCGGCCCGTCCGCGGCGCGCACGCTCTCCCACTGGAAGTGGGACAGCGGGCAGTACCCGCCCGCCAGGTCGAAGACGCAGAAGTCGCTGTCGAGGGAGAGGACGGGGCAGCCCCAGCTGTTGGCCAGCGCGGCGATCTCCCGGTCGGCCTCGGCGAAGCACTGCACGAAGGGCACGCCGAGCCGGCCCAGCGCCTGCACGAAGGCTTCGCGGGTGAGCAGCGGCGCCAGGCAGCCGCCGGCCCCGCGGGACAGCCCGTGCGCCGCCCGCAGCTGCTCGGCGGCGCGGCCCCGCAGCGTGGGCAGCTTCCTGTCCTCGGCGCCGCGCCCGCCGTCCAGCACCACGAACGGGGCCACGCGGCAGGACCGCAGGGTGCCGAAGAAGGCGCGCACGGCCGCGGCGAAGGCGCCGTAGTCGCCGCCGCGCCGGAAGTCGGCGGCGGGGGCGAAGCAGAGGCGGTGGTAGAGGCTGCTGCCGTCGATGACCAGCTTGGTGTCCCGCACCCGCAGCTCGGTGAAGAACACGCCGCGCTCCTCCACGAATCCCGTCAGGCCCTGGACGCCCATGTCGCCGGAGGCGGTGCCGGGAGCGGCACGCGGGGCCCTCCGCTCCCAGATCCGCTTCCTCTTCCCCTCCTTTCCCTCCCTGCCGCCCGCCCGGCCGCTCTGGGCGCGTGCGCGCCGTTTCCTGGCGACGGGGCGGCAAACACAGCGTGGGAGCGGGGCGGGCCGGGGGCGCTCTCTCCATCCGCGCCCTGCCCCGCCTGCCCCTGCCCTGCCTGCCCCGCGCCGGACACAAAGCACGCTCAGGGCACTCAGAGGGACCACAGTCCCCACCGTGGAGGCCGGGCGCTGGAGCGGCGGGAAGGTGGGGTGCCTGCCCGTGGGTCCCGAGGAATGCCACGCTTCCCGGAGGGGTGAGGAATGGGGACGGGGTGAGGGCGTGCCGCTGTCGCCCCTCTGTGTGAGGGGAGCTGGGCCACCCTCGGAACGTGAGTTTTGAGTCTTACACGGTGTTTTAAGAAGGTGATAACATCTCTGGGGAATCTCGGCTTCCCGAATGTGCGTTCAGATACTAAATATCTTCTTTGATAGTCAAGTACATTTGACCTTGTTTTACCATCACCCTCAAGCTCCTTTGCTACTTTGGCACTACTAATAAAATCTTAATTATCCTTTCTCTGGATAAAAAAATCTCAGTATAAACCTGAGCCAAATGAGATGATGTTACTTTAGGCTTGGGTAAGTTTATAAAGATATTGCAGAAAATAATAATGTAGTCAGCATTACAAAGTGTTTTTGTTTGGTTTGGGGTTGTTTTGTTTTGTTTGTTTTTGTTTTTTAACGAAGGAAAATACAAGGAAAATCTCGGGTTTTTATTTTCCAAAACATTTAAAGGAACAGGCCAGTGAAGTTACTGGCAGGAAAAAAATTCAAAGTAGTAAGAACTGAGGCTATTTAGAGCTTAAATATAAAAACTCTGGAATTTGTGCTGCAGGGGGTGGGAGGTGGCAAATGTTGATGTAGCACGGTGGTTCTTAAGGAATAAAAGGAAAACCTGATAGAACTCGAAAATGGCCTTGACTGGCAAAGAAGGGTTTATCTTGGAAGTAGAAAGTGTCAGAGTATGTTAGCTGTTGCTAAAGAAACCAGGAGGTTAATCTTTCTTAAATAAAGAAAGGTCAAGGAAGAACTTGAGATACTTTGTGCTTAGCATGTGTAGGTGGAACTATTAAACCCTAAACAACTATTTTCCTTTAGCTTACAGCACAAAAAGGAAGACTTAACTCTAGGCAAGGAAGAAACTTTTTTTTTTTTTTTTTTTTTAAATGATCCAGAAAATGTCATTGCATTAGTTTGGTTGGCATCAGCAGTGTGCCAGACTCTGGGATGGGACTTGGGGGTGGTGAGTGGGTGGGACAAACTTAAGAACATAAACTGTTTACCAGTGTTTCTGAATAGGGTATACTGGGATTTTTGAGGAAAGGGGAGCTGAGGAGTTGATTTTTTTTGAGCTATCTTTAGTTGTTCTGAACTTTAATGAAGCAATTGGTGCTGCTGCTTGGGAAATACCTGCTCAGTGGGAAAAGACGGACACTGGTGGGAAATACAGTGAAGGTTGGGCTAAAGGTTTGAGTGAGGTAGGAGGAGCTACTGGTACATGTACTTCTTGAAAAATCAGTCAGTCTTATGGTTGACTCATACAGGGTGTTTCTTTCAATCCACCTCTTCTGTGCTGCTAAAATGTGCCTGTGATGCCCCAATGGCAATCACTGTCTGCTACCTTTTAACACCGTTCACCTGGAGATAACGAAGCATTTCACGAAGTTATATAATGATAGTTATTACTATAATTATATAGAGGGGGGAACTGAAGCATAGAGTAGGTGGTGAGAGGCATTATAAGAAAGCACAGGAGTTACATCCAAAGGGCTACTTGATCTTAAGTGTGATATTGTAGTGTAAAGGATATGTTCCTAGGGCCCAAGGAAGTATGAAAATTTGAAGGTGAGCTGTACCAAGTGACTCTTCTCTTGAAAAATAGGTATAGATAGCTCAGCAGTTGTTCTAAGGGTAGGTATTTCAAAAGGCATTTATGAAAGCATGAATAGAACAGCAACTAGGAGAACAGTAAATGAAAATATTATGTAAATTTTCTAGAATTCTCAATGTAATATTTTCTAGAGTTCATCTTCCTGCCCTCTCCTTCTCCACACCTCAGTGTGATCCATTTATGTTTCTTCAGACAGATTTCAGAGAAAGCTGACATTCTTTCCTTAGCATTTGCATTTCAAAATTTTTGTCAGTGTTGCTATCTGAAAGAGAATAAAGAAAAAACATCGTGAGTGCTATAGTTTAAAAATCATAGGATTTGCATTATTAATATGTCTTGTAGTAACTAAAGTTTATCTGTGTTTCATAGCATAGTGACAGTGCAATGTCAGGCTTTTGGGATAGTGTGACAGCAGCTCAGCAGATGGGTATTAAAATAGGTTCTTGTGCACACACACACACACACACACACAGAGTTTGTTGTTGCAAGATACAAATTTGTAATCTTAATTTAGGCTCTGCGTTTGTTTGGAAGAGAAGCCAGTGACTTGGAACCCAAAGTTATATAACTTTCAAAATTAAACAATTTGTCTTTGCTCTTCCAAAGCAACAACAGAAAAAAAAAAAAGGCATTTTTATGCGCTTGCCTTCACCTTAAAATGAAATGGTGCACAAGCCTAGCGTGGGCACGCTGCGCTGCAGCTCAGGCAGTGCTGACAGTAATATTAGCACTGATCTTGGAATATCTTTATTTGTTCCAAAGGGTCCTCAGGCACAAGTGACTCAGGTAGCATTATATAAATACAAGGTAAATGAAAGCAATATTTTTGTATTATATGCAGTGAAAGACCTACCCTTTATCATCTACAATGAGGAAGGCTGAATAAACAAAGTTACTCTAAACTCATGTTCAGTTATTGAAAACCATAGAAACACTAAAGGTTAGCTCTGCAGTCCCTGTGCTTGTAGAATTAGGACTTCAGTTAGAGAAGAATTCCAAACCAAAACTAGACTGTTAGAAAGGTGGGTCATGAAAGGACATGGCAGAGGAGAAATGAAGAACTTTTGGAAGGATTGGGTTATATTGAAAGTCTTGTAGGCTTGCATGTAGCCACAAAACTCTAATTTGCAGAAGATATCACTGAATCACAGAGAAGCTGTGAGGTCAGCACTGCAACAGATGGTGAAATCTGAGGGATAATGAAAGCACAAATAAAACAGCTTTGGAGTTGTTGATGGGAGAGAACTCAAATTATGGGTGGAAGTTATGCTTCAGTATATACAAAAGTCTTGAAACTTTTATCCTGAAACACAGATAATTTTGGTGTCAGGTACTGTGGTGGTATAAAGACAGGTGCTGAGGAAGAGTTGCCATGTCTAGGGGAACTGTCAGGTGAAATACAGCTGTAGTTGTCATTGCAAAAAGCACCTGAGCTCTTCAATAAGCACCTGCATGACATTTCCCCTGTGTTATCAGTTCAGCGAGTTAATTTAAGGTTGTTTTAGAGGGAGACTGACTATGTTACATCTACAGTATCTATAGTTTCATTATCAAGTCTGCTGCCCAGAGCTTAGCAGCTAGCAATTCCACTTAATTTGTGGTTTGCTGCAAGCTAAGCACTCACTACAAGTGCTGCCATAGAATGAAAAGTTTGGTAAGAGTAATACATTGACAAATCAATTTTTTTTCTGTTTCAAGTGATTTCTGTGAACATCCATAGAAGGAAAAAAAGGATTTGAAAGCTACGTTCTAGAGAAATCTGCATAGTTTTTGCTACACAGAGAAATGCTGAAATTTCAAGAAACTGCTAAGCGTGTCACTGTTGCCAGATTTAACTCTGCTTGCCGAGATGCAGTGATTGCAAGAAGATACACTGTTCAGAGGAAACTTGGCAATGGGAGCTTTGGAAGTGTGTATTTGGTTTCTGACAGAAAAGCGAAACAAGGTGAAGAATTGTAAGTAAAGCCTTCACCTGCTTTAAATAAAAATTTTGCAACATATTTCTTGCACTGTGGATGTTTTCTTCGTGTCTCATCTCTCAGTTTGGTGTTACATCACAGCCTTAACTGTTTAACTTTAGTGAGGATATAAGGTAAAAGCAGATTTTATGCTGACTCAACATTCCAACTCAATCTGGTTTTGTTCAATATAGTTTATCCAATATATCTGTTTTACTGAGCTTTTATCTAAGCCCTTTTTAATTTGCTTATGCATGGTAAGAGTGGGGATAGAAAAAGTCAGACCCTTATCTCCGTGTTGATGTACACCTCTGAAGCTTTTTTAAAAAATAATGAAACTAGTAAAAATATATGTAACATACTTAATTCTCAGTGTCATACCTTGGAGAAGTTGCTAATGTAAGATTAATTGCAGAGAAGACTCTCGTGCCTACGTAGAATCAAGGTTAATTTTATCACTGGCCTGACAAGAAGCAGGGCAAAGGTACATGCCTGGTTTCACAAATTTGCTCTTCTTTGTAACAAAACTGTTTACTAAAGACTTAAATGTTTTAACTTATCATTTCATAATTAAGTCAACACATAATAGATGTGTGTATAATATGATTGTATAGTTTATTTTTAAGGTCTTTGTAATTTATAAATGAACTCGGTTCTTGAAGTTCTTTTTTTTTTCAGAACACTTACTGATGTGCTGGGCATTTGCCTTTCATCCAATGCTTCTCCATCCTCATGAACATGATTTTATTTTTAATGGTTCAGAAATCAGCTGTTACTGCACATATTCTTAGAATATTAGCAGCATAGTGAAATGTGGGTCTTCGCACATTTGCTGCTATAACAAGCTGCCAAACGTCAAAACCAGGGAATATGCACTTATCCTTTAAGTAGCTATTTCTATTCTTTTTCTTAAGAATTGTAGTGTGAGTGATTGTCTTGAGCAAACATTCACTGCCTGCAACATTTCATGTCTGTGTTTTGTTAGGGATGAGCCTGAGCGTGTCCTCTGCTACCTTCAGGACAGACACTGAATATCAACTGGCATTTTTTTTTAATTTTAATTTTTTTCAAAATCAGTCTCTTTTTGTGACCGCGGTCCAACACAAACACAACAACAGTATTTAACAAGCCCAAGCGGTGGTGTGATGCTGTAGTTCAGCCTTTGATCACTAGGTGATGTTCGCGTATCACAATTCATTCCTTCGGCGCCTCGAAATTAGATTGGCGAGCGGATCCCCTCAAATTTCTATCACGTCTGTGCCAGTGGATGGCAAAAATACTGCCCCGGGTGAACTTGAAAACGCAGGTAGCATAATGAGCTGGAATGTAGCCACTTCCTTCTATTTATAAATTCTGGTTTTAGGTGGTAAAATATTCTGGAAATCACAATCTCAATACTACTTTCGAATCAGAAAATAATCTGTTATGGAACTGTATTGTTTACTACTTCTGTTATTTATATACTTTTGAATGAAAATTTAGGTGGCTATGGTTCTTACTCTTTAAAAAGAGCAAGTGCTTAATGATGCTCTGAAGGCATTTTGACAGAACAAACCCCAAACAATGCAGTTGTGATCTCAGCAGAATTATAAGTCTATTTTTATTGTTTTGGAGATGATCTAGAACATGCTGAGACAAATATTTTGTACAAGGTGAACTCAGCCAGAGATAGTTTCCTGAAAATTGCGGTAGTCTAAAGCACCGTGAATAGGAATAAACCATAAGAATAGGAATAAGTAATAAGGAAACAAATTCCCAAGAAAGGTAACATCTTGGCTATTGATACAGAAGCTGTTCAGGGATATCTTTTCAGTTTTCCATTAGTGCAATGTCTACAGAATGAGCTAAGGCAGAGACTATCAATGGTTATCATGTAATTTCATATATGTTCAGCAAAGCTTTTGCGTGATTCTAGAAATAGTTCTGGGTCATGCCTTGTACTTTGCTACCCCTCAAGGATCATACCTGTAGTGAGTGAAGTGTTATCCACAGAGTTGCTTCATCTGGAAGGTAGAGAGGGTTGATTTTTTGGGGCATGCCTCCTGTTAACAGACTTACTTCACGTAAATTCAGAGCTGCTCAGGCCAGCAATACCCACCTCTCTATAAGAAGTACATGCCTGCTTCATGCTTATCTCCAGTTCTGTGTGTGGATGGGATCAGGATAACTGACTTCCTGAATGTCTAAGCCAAGAAAAACCCTAGTCATAGAACACATCTTGTGTCGAGGAACTCTGTTTTTCTTTAGAAAATAATGGTTGCAAGTCCTTGTATATTCTGAAATGTGCTTGCATAGTTTCTGATCATGTGTAAATTTACTGAACAACAGGTTCTCTGCTTGTATTTTCCAAGGTATATTTCCAGGTATTTTTAGGGCCGTGAAGATGGTGAAAGGTTGAGAGGGGGAGTTGTATGAGGAGTGGCTGAGGTCACTTGGTTTGTTCAGCCTGGAGAAGAGGAGACTGAGGGGAGACCTTGCTGCAGTCTTCAACTTTCTCATGAGGGGAAGAGGAGGGGCAGGCACTGATCTCTTCTCTGTGGTGACATGGCATGAGGGAATGGCATGAAACTGTGTCACAGGCTGTTTAGATTGGATATTAGGTAAAGTTTCTTCCCTCAGAGGGTGGTTGGGCACTGAAACAGGCTCCTTAAGGAAGTCGTCATAGCACCAAGCCTGCCAGAGTTCAAGAACAGTTTGGACAATGCTCTCAGATACCTGGTGTTATTCTCGGGGCTATTCTGTGCAGAGCCAGGATTTGGACAGGATGACCCTTGTGGATCCCTCCTGACTCAGAATATTCTGTGATTCAATATTATCCATGGTAGAGAGGGAGAAAACCAAACCAGTGATTAGTATTCTGGATTGAGATGGTGCCACCATGGGGTTATTTCAGACTGGCTGTTAGACTTAAGGATCACAGTTACCTCATTCTGAGGTGTCTGCTTTGTGTAAATGTGGTTAATAACTTTTCTGAGTTTCATGACAATTTTCTAAAAAGAAAAGCGCAAGTCCCTCATTTCAGATCTATGCCTAGGGAAGATGACTTCTGTCTTCCATGTTTGTGTAGTAGGTTATGCCTTCACTAAACATCTTCTACAAGAACTTTTTATCCTGTTGGGATGATTCTCATGGAGTATGACAGACAGTTAAATATCTTAGAAGTCCCTGCAACTTGAAGACAGCAGAGTAGAGACCAAAATGAATGCCCTCAAAAGAGAAGGGCCAGAACCTGGGAGGTTCTTCACTGTGAATGAAGTTTCTCATGTAGTAGATGATCTACACAGGAGAGAGATTAATAATTTTCCCCAGTTTTGGAAGAAACTATAGTCAGAATTTACATAATCTTAGACTCCAAATTCAGTTAAATACAAGAGACATATCTGTAAAAAAAACAAGCTTCTTAGTTCCAGTTTACACAGGATGCTTTGGTTTGTATATTATTTGATATTTATTTGTTTCTGAACATCATGGACCTAGACCTACACAAAATAGTTAGATTACTTGATTTGTGTGGCAAAAGTAGCAGGACTGTACCAGCATTTTTACGACAAACAGTAGTTCCTTCTATCCCAGTCCCCCTTAGTAGCTTATCAGGTAATTATTACAGGTAATTATGGTTAAAAACAAAGTCTTTTATAGCAGAGATTTAAGTTCAGCAGTAATCTTGAAGGACAGTGCGATCCCTTAGAGATAATGAATGTCCTAATCAATTGTGCCAAGGGAAGCTCTGGGTTAAGTTCCACTAATTCATAACCTTGTATGGGCGAGCAGCTGAAGTACACAGTAGGCAATAGGGGCTTCTCGTTCATAAATATTCACAAGGTACTTATGTGTCCCTGTGGTGGAAAGCACACGCTGACAAGTGCCAAGCTCCCTGGACTGCTCTACTGTGTGGTAACAGTGGGGTGTCAGCTCAACTTCTGCATCTGACTTGCATTAGAGCATTAATCCAGACTCATGCTATGATTCCTTGGAAACTGTGCACTTAGCTGAATAATTCATCATGTGACTTTCAATTATTTATGGCTTCTTATAACAAATGAAATAAAATCTAAAGGTGGAAGGGATTTGTAACTTATGAATATCCAAGTGGCAATCAGCAGATTGCTGTGTTGTCAAATTCCTGTGTTTGCTGCCTGTTTGCTTCTCTGAAGGTATTCCAAGGGAACGGTCATTTGATACTGAATTGATTAAAACAGTAGCAAATTATTCCCTGCCAGTTTGTCATGTGCATGTTCATCTAATTGCACTGCTTTCCTTTTTTCTTCTCCCTCAGTTAATAACAAAAACTAGAAATTAAAACTGGAATCCATCAGGACATTTTAGATTTGTAAACAGATCTTCATGATGTCCTTGAAAACTAGTCAAAGGTGCATTTCCTGTAGGACCTTCTTTGATTGCTGCTGGTTTTTAAATAAGCTTTTCTTAGCGAACCATCCTTTGCTTGGTTCAGTCACATGTCCTCTGCTGCTTTGTGTAGGCTCAGCTGCTCAGCATCAGCTGAGCTACCATGGCTTCTGAGGTGTACAGTCATGCTTGGCCCCAAATAAAAGAGGATAAAAACACTGACAGAGAGGCCTTGTGGATTTACCTAGAGCAGTTTGAGGAGTTAGCCTTCATGAGCTTTACACTTCAGTGGCCGAGCCTGACTTTCATATTCTGTGAGCAATGCTGTGGGAGTCAAGACCTAGAGCTAAGTATCCCAGTCCTTGCCGAAACTCTGTAACAGTGGCTGATGCACTTGTGCCTGATTTTAAGAGTACACCTGCAAATGGAGGTTGCCAGGGAGTGAAGCTGTAAATGTGTTGTTTCAAGATTAGCAGACAAGTTCCAGATATGGCCACAGTTGTTTCAGATAGTCTCTAGTGCACACCAATACTGGTTCAGAGACAAGTTTGATGACCCCAGATTCATCCAAAGCAGATCTCACTGGAGACTAAAGCAGCTTTAGTCCCTATCTCATGCGTCACTGTCAGTGCCCAGCTTTTCCTGTAGCC